AAAGGTGGAATTTTGTCTATGGATATGATATTATACCATGTAGTTTAGATTGGAAGTTATAATATTGTATTGTATAGTAGTCCAGTTGATAGCATAGTTATAACGCAACACAGGACAGAGCACCCTCCTCCGATCCGGTGGTGGTGCTGCGTAACATGCTAATTAATATGTTAATTCCGCCCTACAGCTTAAAAGACGCGGTCCTTGCTTGGCAGTGTTCACTCAAGCGCTGTCTTCTGGATAGTCCTGTTTATTCACCTGAAGAAGGCTACTTGTGTTGTGGCCGAAACGTCGTGAGAATCTCATTTTATTATGTTTTATTTTTATTATTTTATTTCCATTCCACGTGACTTTACCGAAAGAACCAAGAAGATGAATCCCTGCAGTCACGAAAGCTTTAAATCGAAATTGAACTGTGGCTGTTTGTAAATGGATTAAAATCAGCTATTGGCCCTGATGGAAAATCTTGTGTTATGGAACACCTGGTAGTGGGCGTTTAAAGTTTTGAAGGGCAGCTATACCGCACAACCCATTGAAATACTGTACAGCAGTGCAATTACGAATGCACGCATGACCGCAAACACTATACTGCCATTGCATTAAATCATTATGGTTATTTACGTTGTGAATGTTCGTGAAAGGGAGCCTTTGAAAATATTTGCACGAACCCCAGAGAAAATAAGCCCATTTTTGCATACTTGATTGGTTAAGTTGAGGTTATCATGTGCATTATGAACAGGTGGCTCCTACACAAATTAACATCCAGCTAATTGTAGCTGACTCAGGACAAAAACGTGCCACCTTTTAACACAAGTTATACATTATTTATGAGCTAGGTTTCACAGAAACGTGTGGCCCTGCTCATGCCACTGCTGGCGGAAGGATCTCTACTAGAGGGAGCTCTAAAGAGCCCATCTAGAGGGTAATTGGCCTACTCTTCCAAAATTGGAAGAAGTTGGAGTACCCACACTTTGCTCAAACACACGGGACAAGTTAGTCAATATACTATGGTGTACCCATTTATGCTGATGGGGTGGACAGAGAGGGTGTTTAATAAAGTTGCAAAATAGTTTCAACATTTGCGCTGCGAATTTAAACCTCTGGATTGCAATTCCAGGATGTGAACCATTACACCAGAGCATCATAGTTGACAGCTGTGGTTCACTGCAAAACATTCATTTAATGTAGGCCTGACCTGCAAAGCAGGTAATTATGTATATATGTATGTTGAACTTCTTTTACATCGTACGTAGTCATTCATGCTAATCGGAGGTTGCGGGGGGAAGGCCAACAAACTAAACACAAAAAGCAGTTCTAAATAAATTAGTTTTCAATCCAGAATTCCTAATATCAGAAGATTGGTCCAGACGGTTGCAGAACCGTATCTGAGAAAGCACGCGATGGAGTGACTGTCTTTGTTCGATAGTTTGCCAAAATCCGCTGCGGGGATGACTTAAGTTTTCGTGGTGGTGTTGTGGCTCTTTTGTTGCAAGCACTTTGTGTCTAATGAGTACGACCTTATAGTATGGTGCGACCTTACGAGAAGTGTTCAAATTAAGACAATGCATGGTTATGTGTGATAACACTGGCCAATGCAAAGTGGGGAATAGCAGTATTAACACGATAGACGTACAGTGAGGGAATAAAGTATTTGATCCCCTACTGATTTTGTACGTTTGCCCACTGACAAAGAAATTATCAGTCTATAATTTTAATGGTAGGTTTATTTGAACAGTGAGAGACAGAATAACAACAACAACAACAAAATCCAGAAAAACACGTCAAAATTGTTATAAATTGATTTGTATTTTAATGAGGGAAATAAGTATTTGACCCCTCTGCAAAACATGACTTAGTACTTGGTGGCAGAACCCTTGTTGGCAATCACAGAGGTCAGATGTTTCTTGTAGTTGGCCACCAGGTTTGCACACATATCAGGAGGGATTTTGTCCCACTCCTCTTTGCAGATTTTCTCCAAATCATTAAGGTTTCGAGGCTGACGTTTGGCAACTCGAACCTTCAGCACCCTCCACATATTTTCTATGGGATTAAGGTCTGGAGACTGGCTAGGCCACTCCAGGACCTTAATGTGCTTCTTCTTGAGCCACTTCTTTGTTGCCTTGGCCGTGTGTTTTGGGTCATTGTCATGCTGGAATACCCATCCACGACCCATTTTCAATGCCCTGGCTGAGGGAAGGAGGTTCTCACCCAAGATTTGACGGTACATGGCCCCGTCCATCGTCCCTTTGATGCGGTGAAGTTGTTCTGTCCCCATAGCAGAAAAACACCCCCAAAGCATAATGTTTCCCCTTCCATGTTTGATGGTGGGGATGGCGTTCTTGGGGTCATAGGCAGCATTCCTCCTCCTCCAAACACGGCGAGTTGAGTTGATGCCAAAGAGCTCCATTTTGGTCTCATCTGACCACAACACTTTCACCCAGTTGTCCTTTGAATCATTCAGATGTTCATTGGCAAACTTCAGACGGGCATGTATATGTGCTTTCTTGAGCAGGGGGACCTTGCGGGCGCTGCATGATTTCAGTCCTTCACGGCGTAGTGTGTTACCAATTGTTTTCTTGGTGACTATGGTCCCAGCTGCCTTGAGATAATTGACAAGATCCTCCCGTGTAGTTCTGGGCTGATTCCTCACCGTTCTCATGATCATTGCAACTCCACGAGGTGAGATCTTGCATGGAGCCCCAAGCCGAGGGAGATTGATAGTTATTTTGTGTTTCTTCCATTTGCGAATAATCACACCAACTGTTGTCACCTTCTCACCAAGCTGCTTGGCAATGGTCTTGTAGCCCATTCCAGTCTTGTGTAGGTCTACAATCTTGTCCCTGACATCCTTGGAGAGCTCTTTGGTCTTGGCCATGGTGGAGAGTTTGGAATCTGATTGATTGCTTCTGTGGACAGGTGTCTTTTATACAGGTAACAAGCTGAGATTAGGAGCACTCGCTTTAAGAGTGTGCTCCAAATCTCAGCTTGTTACCTGTATAAAAGACACCTGGGAGCCAGAAATCTTTCTGATTGAGAGGGGGTCAAATACTTATTTCCCTCATTAAAATGCAAATCAATTTATAACATTTTTGACATGCATTTTTATGGATTTTGTTGTTGTTATTGTCTCTCACTGATCAATTAAACCTACCATTAAAATTATAGACTGATAATTTCTTTGTCAGCGGGCAAACGTACAAAATCAGCAGGGGATTAAATACTTTTTTTTCCTCACTGTAATCCATTTCATTTGCAGTGTACAACTGGGACTATAATTATGGAAAATGCATCAACACAAAAACTGCCTTATACCTAGGTTTCATAATATCAAATTGCAGGACCGCTTCTTCAGTCTCATTAATGGCTCTGAACAGGGCACATTACGGGCAAACATTTTAGAGACGCTGCAAATATGTGGTCCCCATGTCTCCACATGCAGCAATGGATGATCAATGGGATGAAGCCAGTGTTGGTACGGGAATATTTGGTGATGAGATTAGGCACTGAGGCTTTATGATGAAGATTTAGTAACGTGATGTTTGTGATTCTGATGAACCATTGAATATTTAAGTTTTGTCGTGATGTTTGGTGATGATTTAGCGATGCGGTTTTGGAATGGATGTGGTGGCAAATATTTGCTAAATATCCTTTATAAGGCTTGGTGATAAATATTTGATGAGCTTTGGTGATGCGATTTTGTGGTGATATTTATTTTTTACGTTTGGTGATTAGGTATGGTGATGAGATTTATTTATGAGTTTTGGTGCTCAGATTCGATAATGAAATTTGGTGACGAGGTTTGATTACGATTTGATGACATTTTATATTTGTGGTTAAGATGATGAAAATTCGGTGCTGGTGCTGAGATTTAGTGATGAGGTTTGATGATGATGACGATTATGCATTGAGAAAAAAAACTATAGCTCAGTTTGTGTATGACCTTGACCAAAAAAACCACATATGAGAGGTTAGACCTTTGAGGGAGGTGGGTGGGGGTGTGGCTCTCGAGTTGACGCCAATAAGTCAATAAATGAATAGACCCCAGATATAACGATGACGAGTTTGACGATGGCAATGAGGATATGCACAAAGGTGGCGGTGTTTGTCAGCGGTTGCCATGACAACCGGGCTGATGGCGACGTCGGCGGCGGCGTTAATCGCGCAACAAGAAACTCTGGCGTGACGTCATTCCCCCGCCGCAGCCACCCACGGAAGCCCCTCCCCTCCTCCGCTACCCCTCCCCCTCCTCTTCCCCCTCCTCTTCCCCCTCCCCCTGCGCTGCCCCTCCCCGCGCTTGAACCCAATTCTCCCTCCCATACGAACCCATTCGACCCCCTCCTCTGCCCCGCCCCTTCCTCCCCCCCCACCGCACATATCTCCCCGCCACCCCCGCCCGTAACCCCTCCCCTCGTCGTTAGGACGTGACGTCACGCGGGCATCGCCTACTCCCGGATAGCGGTGACGTCACGTGGGAGCCAGCGAGGGCGCGCGCGCGTGCCCTCTTGCTGCCCCTCCCTGACGGCGTTCGATTCCCGCCAAATTCGCCTCTTTTTTTTTGTTGTTGCTTGCAAACTCGCGTGCAAGCGGTGCGTCCTCTAGGTGTACTCAGCCCGAAATATATATATATTTTTTGCAGGGGGGGGGCGGAGGTCACAGCAACCGTGTCAACTCGCGCGCGACAGCGTTGGCTAATACGTTTGCCTTAATAATCATCACCGTCATTATTTGATCAACCGCGATGAATCCACTGTTTAGCTGAAGGTTATCGTCACCCCCTCAATCCGTCGCCTCAATGGGCGCTCGCAAACACGTCTCATTGTCCCGCCAAGTCTATTGGCGCGAGAAGGCGGTGGGGAGTGGGGGGGTCTCCAGCCCACACCCTCAACCACCCCTCACCCCCGCCCCTCGCAATAAACCTTCCCGCCCCCGTAATAGCCCCGCCCATTCCAGCTAGCCACGCCTTCTTCAGCCCCACACAGCCCCGCCCCTCTCCCCTCCAGCCCCGCCCCTACCCCCCTCCCTCCCCGGTAAACAAGAGCGGCCCCGTGGTCGGGCGGACGTAGCGAAAAGAACCGTAGGGGGGGAAAAAAATATCCGAGGCGAATGTTACACTTCGTAGACGTATTATATTAGTTCTTAATCTGTTATTTTTTTTAACGCCAGGGCCATTTGCCGTACGCGAAGACCACCGTCGCAAATATTGACCCAATTCTAGATTTTGAAAGGGTGGGAAAATAACATTTAAACCAATGTTAAAAAAGTGAGCGAGCGTGCGAGAGAGAGAGAGAGTGGAAAGGCATACATACAGTGCGCGTATGTGTCTGCGCGATTGGTTAAGGTTGGGGAGTTGACAAAAACGACGACTACTACGACGGTGGTAGCCGTAGGAGTTGTCGGCGGTGGTCTTTGGAGGTAGGGATCCGGTGACGGGTGAGTGAACGGTGACAATTCGGCATCGCGATCGGTGGGTGGCAGATCGTAGTTACATCGGCAGCAATGGTGGTGGTGGTGGTAGTATCAGTCGTAGTTCTCGCTATGGGTTAACCTTCGACAGTTGACAAGTCGACGACAGTAGCGTCGGCTAGTGGCGATATCGCTCGTAGTTGTAGCTATGTAGAGAGAGAGAGGGTGGGAGGGAGGTGAGCGCTTATTAACTACTGCGACTAAACTAAACTGCACGAATCGAGCATCGCGACGGGTGAGTTTGTAAGAGTTGGTGGCAAAGTGAGTTGGCGAACGGCGAAGCGGGGTTCGCGCTTTAGTGGTCGGATTTGTCAGCAGTGATTGCCGCTGTGTCTGCGAGTTGTGTACTAGGTGCATGTCTGCGAGTTGTATAGGCGTTTTGTGATTGAAAGCGAGTCGCTTTGGCGAGTGTCGCGGCGGGCGTGGGTTCGTCCGCTCCGTCTTCTCTCCCTACCCCCCACCACCACCTCTCTCTCCATCCTCCTCGGGCTCCCGGCACCCCCCCACCCGGGTCGAGGGTCGGGGCGCCCTGCGGCCTAGCGCGGGCTCGACTGGTGGCGACGCGCGGGGGGGAGGGAGTGCTGCGCAGCAGGAAAAGAACGAAGGGGAGATAGAGAGAGAGAGAACGCGGCCGCTTTACAACGGGGAGACGAGAGACGGACACCGGGAGGCGACTGCGTCTGTGGTGGTTGTGGTAGTGGGGGGGGGACGTGGACTGCAGTGGGGGGGTGGTGGGAAGTCGTCCAGCCGCCGGCCCGAACGCGTCGCTTAAGTTGTTGGTAAGCGCCGCTTAAGTTTGGTCAGCGCTGCGCTTCGATTAACCCAACAAAACCCCCGGGATTTCGGGGAGAAGAGGTGCGGAAGAAGCGGAGGAGGCGTAGGAGGAGAAATACATCCCAAGAGAAGTGTGAATTAGGTTGAGGTGACTCGAAGGGAAACAAGGTGGTGAAGAGGAGGTGAAGAAGCGAGAAGAGGTTAACAGGTGGACTGACGGGAGAGGTTAAAGAGACGTGAACGCAGCAGAGGAAGTCAGAAATTGGCTAAAGAAGAGGTGCAACTCTTAAGTGAAGGAAGAGGTGGAAGAGGGACTGGAGCTGTTCACAGCACCAGGAGGTGGTGGAGGAGGACCGAGAGGCTTCGATTCCATTTCCACCACCGGGACGAAGATTGACGCTCGGCGGGCAAGAGGTGCGCGAGTGAACCGGCCGCGTCTCCCCTGCCCCACATCTCAGCCACATCTGACCCATATATCTCGGCCGGAACAGTCTCAGACCCAGCTCCCCCTCCCCACCTTGCCCTGCCCTTCCCAACTCTCCTGCCCCCTTCAAGCTCAGCACTCCGCCCGTCTTCCCTTGCCTTTTTTTGTTTGTTTGCTTAAACCGCCTACCCTGCCCATCCCCAACTCGCTTGCTCTACCCTGTTTATATCGAGCTCCTCCTGACACTACTGCCTCAATTACCACAGTCACGCAGTGTACCCCCCCCCCCCCCCCCCCCTTGTCTGTCATCTCAAAGCTCACCTGGCCTTCTCCATTTCAGCTCGCTTTTCCATTAACATGCCCGCCTTTCTGTCTAATCTTGCCCTCATGTCTGCCATGCCCAATTAACAGTATTCGAATACCCTATTACCAGTCATTCCCATCTCAACTAGCCTTCCCTGCCTTTCTTGCATCGCAGCTCTCCCTACCATGCCACGACCCCCTTCCTTGCCTCGCTCTCAGCCCTTCTGTCACATTTCTGCACGCCTCTTCACCAGACTGGCTTCCCTTTTTAGCAGCCCTCAATGTCATAGCCCTCCAGCATTTTTCATTCCAGTCAGTCTACTGCATGCCCTTTAACGCGTTTCCAAATGCGTCTGGTCTGCCTCCTGGCCCTCCCTTTGGCCATGCCCCGGCCGGGGGGTGGCCATGCCCCGCCGGGATGGCCATGCCCCGGCCGGGGTGTGGTGGCTTGGAACGGGTTAACTGCGCCAACGACGGCCGCGTGAGTTTGGTGGCGCTGTAATTGGGTTAGTCGGCGGGACGTAAATAAACGCAGACTTTGGTACTGTAAAAGCGCGACGCCGCCCCTGCGATGAGCTGGTACGATGCACCGTACTGTACTTACAGTGCAGTGCACGTGTACTCACGCACGTGTACGTCGCTGTGCGGTGTGTTACTGCGCGCGTGAACTGTGTAACGGCGTGTCGACTTTTAATGTTATACTGTGCCGTGAACGCACCGTGGAGTTGCGATGAACTGCCGTATTTAAATACATTACCGTAATGTGCCACGCAAAGTGCCACACATTTTAGACGTGTGCCGTTCGTGTTGTGTTTACGTGCTGTGCAAATAATGCATTGTAAAGCAAATATGCTATAGACGCAAAATGCAATGTCGAATCTGTTAAGTTAAGCACATTCACTAACCAGTGTATGTTGGATATTAGTCTTGTGTTAGGGGTAGGCATGAAGTCGTCTCGAGTCGTTTTGCTACTCTATAATGAGTTAAAAAAAACCGCTGTGACCTAGTTACGTTTCCTTTAATGTTGTCATCTTCTGGGTGTTAACACACCGTAACACCGCATGCGCCTTCTGCTCTCGCGGTGTTGTATGTCAACCACGGAATATAACACGAGTTAGAATGACTGATATTTTGCAAAAATACTAAAGCGTGTGGCATTTCTGTTTTTTTGTTTTGTTTCTGTAAGATTTGGAAAGTGTCGGTGCCTCCATGATCGGATTCCCAGCGATCCGGAAAGATAATGGGGACTGAGGGCTCTGTGCAGCAGCAACAACAGTATCCGGAGCCTCTAACCCAAAAGCAGTCCGAGTTGGTGAAGAGAGAAGATAAATTGCTCACGTGGGACACGAGGCCACTTTCCAACATGGATTTCCCCGAGGACCAGGGCTCGCCAGGGAGACCAGGCCAACAAAAGACCGGCGGTGGTACTGGAACTTCGTGGGCTGAACTGGTCCAGGACAGCGAGGTGTCCTCCCTCTGCATCCTGGATGATGAAACCTCGGTGCCCGAGGAGCTCTTCAAGACGGTGGCGGAGTCCATGGGGCTGTACATGGCCGATGGTGGGAACTTCGACCTGCTCGGCGAAGGCTCTCAGGACGTTGACGCGGCCATTTTTCAGGGTGAGATATTGGCACAGCCGAGGGCGAGCACGGCTTGTGTGTAGTCGAAAATTTGTTTATATATACAGCGATGTTGGATTTTGATTTATAATGTGCATTTTGACTAGTTTGCAAGAGAACTTGCCGTGAGTTATTGACTTGGAAATTATGGATAAACGCTGTAAATGAAAAGCCCTGACAAATTATAGTTTGACATTGTTGCGATTGGCACACTGGCGGTATCAATTCTTAGAATGGTGATGCGATAAATAGAATGTACAGAGTACCGTACTTTAGTATAATCACGGCAGGTAAGGTAGACCTATCTTGCCACTGTTTACGGTTTGGAGCTGTGCGGAGGAAGATGGAGTGTGTGTGAGTCATGCTAGCACACTTGACTTGGCAGCGGCAATGAAACAGGAAGAATATGGCAAGTAACCGTGTAGATTCGGCAAGTCAATAATATTGATGTTTTGTTAAATATGTATACACAAATGAAATAAGTGTGCCACTTGGTGGCAGAATTGGGGCTGGTAATAAAATGCAAAGACATATGCCAAGATATTGGAAGATGCATGCATTATTGATTTCCTGTGGGTCTTTTTAAAATGGAGGCATTACGATTTATTCATGAACCAAATTTGATTTTACATTATATCTGCCTCTTCAAGGGTATGGTGTAGTTTATATACATCTGCATACACAGTAATGTTATGTATATGATAATGGTGTATTTTTCTTTAATTACCAGTAACACAGAATCTCATGAGTAGTAACCCTGGAGATTCCATGACCTGACCTTGTGAAAATGAAAAGCACGTAAGTTCCATTAAATGCGCTGCTTGCTGTATTCCTATTAACACGTTATAAAATGTACGAACTAAAGCGAATGTCTCTGTATGTCATTATACGGTTTTCTTTTTAGGTGAGGACTTGCGCTCTTCGCCGTCAAACCTTTCCCACGTTGGTCCACGGGTTAGCCCGTTCCCAAGTGTTAAGCCTGGCGACGACTCTGCAGGTGCTCAAGAAAGCATGGCAAGCCCTGTTTCGGCAGCTCTCAGATCAAAGCCGCAGCAACAACAACAGAAGCAGCAGCAGCAGCAACAGCAGCAGTCTCGGCAGCTTCATCAGCAGTCAGCAAATATTTCTGTGAAACAGGAGAAACAACAGCCACAGCAACGTTCAGAAACACATGTTTTGATGAAACCAGAAGCTGACGTTGGAGCAGATTGTAGCCACTTCTCTCATGGAAACATGCAGCCAAACAGGCCAATTAAGGTGGAGCCCCAGTCGTTCGAGAGTCCGTCAGAATATGGGGGACCTCAGCTGATGGGTTTTGATTCGAATTTACACACATACGGGGACATGGACTCCAGTGCGAGGCACGCAGAAAGGGGGGCATTTCCGGGTCCGTCCAGGGGTGACACCACTGCGAGTCGTGCCAACGTCAAAGAGGAAGACTCGGGTTGTGATTTACACATCTGCACGCCGGGCGTGCTTAAGAGAGAGTTGGATGAACTCAGCTACTGCGCCATGAGTATGAGCACATCCGTGGCAGCGGGCTCCCCATTCGTGGAAGGGGTGGAGTTTCAGTTGCCCTACTCGGCATCTGCCACATCCTTTCGTCCGTCCGTTGCCACCTCGTCCGCCTCGGGCATCTCCAACTTTTCAAATGGGAATAATTTTGGATTCCTTTCTCCCAATGGAGTACAACAGGATGGATTTCCTTACCCTGGTTTCACGAGGTAAGTGCTTGTGTCACGTGTGCAATTTTACGTTGTGAAATATATTTTTTGCGCAAAGCAAAAAAATAAAATGTGCCGACGCGCAGCATTTTGCAGAATTTAATCTCTTGCAGAAATAGAAGATGGGTACACATCTTTCAAAATCAATGGGCCCTATAAAATGATTTCCCTGGGTACAGGTATGAAAGAAAACAAGTTTAGCCCCCTTATTGCCCAGAATCAAGTTTCTTTCCCCCACCCCCAATGTCAGTTGATTTGATTCATGCTGTCGGTTTTCCCGTTTCAGTGTTTAGGATGTTAGCCATGACCGCATGTTGTGAGTGCCTAACATCTCTGTGATGTGCTCGAACAGTGGCAAATACGCGACTCAACAGTTAGCATTTGCAGCATCTACAGATGCAATCATTTATTTATATTAACTCGGATTCCAAAAAAAACCGAAGTGCACAGGATGACTCAAATGTAGAATTTTACAATGGATAGAAATATAAACCTCGACCATCGGTGAGCATAGAACATGAACCAGCAATAGAAAGAAACCGGCTGTAAGCTTCAAACTGGAATGATAGCATTTCACTCGCATGCGGCAATCATGTATAGTGTATATTAAATAATGATTGAGCTGACCTGCATCACCGGCTGCCGGGTAGCATGTGGTATGAGGTGGGGCTGTACATTTGCGCACACACTGCTGCACCATTTGCATTGTACTGCAAACGCACGTTTTTAGCCAAGGGGCATTTCGGTGGCATTGCCACCCTACTTTAGCCACATTTTAGGCGAATTGAGCTTGGCGTCGAGTGATTCCTCCTGGTGTGTGACGCACGGTAGCAGTCGTGACTACCGTCGCAAAGGCGGGGAAAGTAAGTAGTTAATTCGCTGCTGCTGTTTGTCATTGAAGTCGTTTATTGTAGATGTATACAGTACGTCATTTACATATGACATTAAATGTGGTTTTCATCCATTTCGCCATTACATTACTGTCGGACAAGTAGCAATTTGACTTAAAAGTAGTTAAAGCTGTCTGGTTCAAAATGGATCAAGTTAAAATGCTAATCACGTTGTTAGAAGTATGTCATCCTATAGCTGTTTAAGTTTGTTCGTTAATTGTGTGATTGCTGGCTTAAATGGCTTGTGATCCAGGTGAGTATGAAATGCCTCTTTAAGATATGATTATTTTAAAACTTGACTCATGGGAATATATTATGAAAGTGTATTAGCAATTGTAAATGTGATACAATTCAAGTTATAATCGCTGGGTTTCCATCTGTGTGGACACCATTTTGCTAATTTTGTTTTCAAATTGTCTAGATGTAATTTTATATCTCAAATATGAAAATCTTTTCATAGAAATTGGAAAGAACAAATCCTAGATTCTTTGAAATGTCATTTCCTGGGCAAAGTGGTTATCTCTATCACAAGCTGTACATGAGCAGTGACGAAATCTTTTACCAATTTTAAATCGATAAGAACAAAGCTGTTCTGTATATTAAAATATATATTTATGAACTCCCATTGCTGGTCGTAGACTGACAGCGTTAACCAAGCCTCCTTTGGCTGATTAATGCAGCGCAGGGGTTGACTACAATGGAGTTTGGTTATGGCCTTGTGCATGTCCTTGGTGCCAAAAAAATAATTTAGCCTCAGAATATATTTTGTTTTGGAACCCTAGACGAAGGGATTGGCCAGATTGAGAAGACTGGCTTTGGATTGCAGGGACATTAACAAGGATAAAGCTTGATTTTGCAATATCACCCAAGCAGTGCCGTGCCGATCTGTGACTATAGCTCCAGCCTTGATAGTAACTAATAGGTGTCAAGTTAGTGCTTTGAACGGTGAATTTATCAATTGTTTCACAATGTTCAAGATTCCCTTACACTTCAACACTGTATTGTAACTAAAAGATTTAGGCCCCCGAAGTATATATTTTTTTATCCAACGAATAGCACAACCAATCTTTTGGAATGTAAGTTATTAAACATTGATGCACTTGCATTTTCTTAAATAGATTGTTTGGCTTTTTCAAAGAAGTTCAGTGGAGCGATCATACATTTGTTAGTGAATATAAAATCACTGGTCTCTAAACGGAAATGCTCCTATTGGTCAACATTGTTGGCAGTAGAGGGGCAGCACAGAAAAACATCCATTGCTGTCCTGTATTCTGTTCAAGTGTGCTGCCTGCCATTACAAACCCGCTCTGACCAGAGTGGTGAAGTATGGTCAAAACCCCCCAGAACCTGCAATGGCTGGGAGAGGCCATCATCCAGCAGTGGGATTGACGAAGGGACTGTACATGTACGTGATTCTTTCACACTGTAAATCCAGCATGTTTATCAGCAATTTGGGTGCAGCTTGCGTGTTCTGCTTTAAAAAAAAAAAGTGGGATGAAGAATGTGGCATTTAAAGTTGACATAAATGCTTGATTGGGAGGTCATCTGTCGAAGGACATGCAGTGCTGTATTTGGAAAACCTAGAAATGGCCTTCCACCATTTACCTTCACACACGCGGCGAGGCTACTCCCCGCGACTGGGAGCATTCAAGGGAAAGGTTTTTTTTTTAGTGCGGTCCGGTTGCATTAATAAGCCGTGCTTTTTGTGTGTGTGTGTGGGTTGTTTCTCGCTTAGTATTGGAAGCCTTGTTATGAATATGTGAATTGACCCACGTTGTGAGTATTTAAGTTCTGCAACTTGCATCGGGAGTTTTATACACCCTGGTTGCTGTAAACTTCTCAACGGTGCCTACAAAGCCTTTCAATAATGTATTATATTTGTTAAAATATAGTTAAGCTTGGGGGGGGGGGTGAATACGAAAGATGTATTTGGAGTCATAATTATGTTAAATTTGTCGACGTTTAGCTTTAAACAAAAAAAATCCCTGCCAGTCGTACTGTTTCCTGGCCTCTCACATTGGGAGTGGCCATTTCGGTTGTAGGTTGATTAAAATGTAAGGAGCAGTTCATTGGCTGTGGCATACAAAACGCAAGCAATGGCCGAAAAAATGGCAGTGCTTTCACATTAAAAAAGATAAACTTCTAAATCTCGGGCCAATTATTTTATACAGTTGCCCTATATCTGAGCATAGAAAGGGGGTAGCAAAATTCAATTAAACACGCACTGTAAAGTTAATGCGCTCGTGAGCAACGCAAGCTGCCAAATGTTTTTATTGTTGGCACGTCTCACTAGCTATCGTATAAACATGGTTTTGTTTTTAAACGTGAATAGAAATGAAAGCAACAAATTTCTCCCATTAATTTTTGTAGTCCCTTTAAATAAATAGCTTGTAACCGTACTCCATATTCACATTGCAAATGGGACTTGGCACAGATGGGCAAACAGGGACACTACTAGTGAGACCTACATGTAAAGAAAGTCGTAGTACCCCAAACAACTCCATAGACTTAACACTTGTGACTCATGCATTTCCACGGTGTGCTTAGTACGGGCTGGTGCACGGAGAGATTTTATTGCCCGAAACCTTTTCTACCCACGGTTGAAGTTTACAGATTGTCACCTAGCATGGCACAGTCGGTAGTGCAAGAGACACAAAGGGGGGGGGGGGAAACGAATTTCAACTCCCAGAGTAAGCAAACATTGGTAATCTAATTTCACATCAACAGCACTGCACAATTGGCGAACATCAACTTGTGCAAAACGTCAATTTTGAGACACATTGTGAGGTTTTTTTTATTTGTTGAAAAAAAGGAAACTGAAATCTGGTATTTTTTTGTATTCTAATCGCAGCAGCAGAAGGGGGACGCGCATGAATGAAATGCAGGGCTTTGAATCCACAGGTGCAGATGTGTTGCGTGTCAGCTGCAGGAATACCGTCTAACAACGCTCCCGATTTTAAGCAGGAGCCGTGCCGATTTATTTACGTTTTTAGCGCACCCCGAAATGTCAAAGCAAATATTACGTCAAAACTAAAGACAAAAAAAAATACCTTTTTCATTGATACGGTGCTTGATAGAACGGTTTGTTTCTTAAAAGTACGCTGCAGTAGGCCTCACTAAAACGCATCATGGCTTCGGTGAAATAAAGTTCAATTTATCGTAAATATTTGGTTCATGAGACCCTGCGAGTGAAACTGCCCATTCGGAAAGCTGACGAACAGTTTGAATATCATTTATTGTTATGGTTTGTTTCCCTTGACTACGCACGGTCTCCTTTGTCAGTACAGTATTTTAGGGTGACTTTGCACAATTCGTGCATGGTTGCCTGAAGTGTTGTAATATGTAGAGGAATAACTGTTTAATTCAGAACGTACCTAGACTGTTTGAGAAAAGTGTTGCTTGGCCTGGACGCATGAAGTCTCGAAGGAATGATTGTCGAAAATAACAATGGCATCGCAGCCGATGTGTGGGAATGTATCGAAGAGGACCATCCACCGAGGAGATGGAGTGCTGTAATCGGAATCAGAACCACAGATGTCCAGGCGGGGCAGGTCAGAAAGTTACAGCAACAAACCATCGGAGCGCAAAGTGTATGAAAGGAAAGCAAATCGCAGAAAAATAAATACGTAAAATAAGTTCTTGGCCAGGCCGTGGGTGAATCGTTACATCGCAGGACGTGAGAGATAGCGATTTCCTTGAGGAGGCCTTCATTCAGCAGTGGCTGATAATGACAATTACCTCGTAGTTGAGTATTATATGTGAGAGGCAGAGGTAAAGTGTTTTCTCACTCAAAGAACCCGGGGAATGCTTACTCAACCCAAAAAGTTGAAATGCCATAGTGCTATTGTAAGGCTCATAATGTGATAGCGTAACCACTGCCGACTTACTACAAACCCATATTCATTTTTATAAGCTCCGCGATTTGAACTAGATGTTTTTGTTTAATTGAGTTGAACACTAAAGTACCGAGCATGATTTCTCAGATGGCTCATTTAAAGTCACACCGACTCAAGTGTTTTGAACCCCTCCAGGCTGTCATTCTCCAATCAAGGAGTAAAGGTGGTACGCCAAGCTACGTAGAAGGCTGGAGTATTGTGCTGTTTGGCCTTA